AAAATAGTTTTTCAGAGTTGGAGAGTCCTTTTTAGAGGTTTTTTTTTTAATTTTCCACTTTTCCAAGTCTTTTTCGGTCGGGAAAACTGGTTTTTAAGTACGAGGCTATGATTTTTTTCATTTTCTAACCAAACTTTTTAGTATTAAATGCAATATTTAGCAAAATCCCATTTAAAATACTTTTTCTGGAAGTTTTATCCTGCAACACCGCTTGTGGCTAACTTCAATTAAGTAAGTAAGTAACTTGTTAGCTTCGACGGTCGGCCATTTTCAGTGTTTTATCCTGATTTTTCTTCAGATTTTCCCCTTTTCCAGGTCGTTTTCAACCAGGAAAACTGGTTTTAAGTACGAGGCTTTGAGTTTCCTTCATTTTGTGCCAAAAATGTCCAGTTTTCCAATGGGGTAAATGACAAAAACTAAAGTTTTATCAAGTAGGCTTTGGAATGTCCTTTTTAGAGGTTTTTTTTTTTTGAATTTTCCGCCTTTCCAGGGTTTTTTCGCTCGGGAAAACCGGTTTTAAGTACGAGGCTTTGAGTTTCCTTCATTTTGTGCCAAAAAATTTCAGTTTTCCAAGAAGGTAAGTGACAAAAACTCAAGTTTCATCAAGAATGCCCATTTTAGAGGTTTTTCTTCGGATTTTTCGCTTTTCCAGGACTTTTTTGGGCGGAAAACCCGATTTTAAGTACAAGGCTTTGAATTTCCTTCATTTTGTGCCAAAAATTTTCAGTTTTCCAATAAGGTAAGTGACAAAAACTCAAGTTTCATCAAGTAGGCTTTGGAATGTCCTTTTCAGAGGTTTTTCTTTGGATTTTTTTGCTTTTCCAGGGCTTTTTTGGTCGGGAAAACCGATTTTAAGTACGAGGCTTTGAGTTTTCTTCATTTTCAGCCAAAACTTTCCGTGTTCCGCCAGCAAAAATAAACTCACTAAAAAACAACTTTTCAGGGAATTTCTAGTTTTAAAAATCAACTTTTTCACTAAAATACGATTTTTCTTTAGTTTGCAACAGTGCTTTGTAGCCAACTTCACTCGGGTTCCAATCAAGTCGGCCTTGGAATGTTATTTCCAAAGCCCTGACAATGACATTTGACAGTCGGCCATTTTGAGTGTTTTTATTCCGGTTTTTCCGCGAACTTTCCACTTTTCCGGGATTTTTTAAATGGAAAAAAGTGTTTTTAAGTGCGGGACTTTGGATTTTTTTCATTTTGTGCTAGAAATTTCCAGTTTTCCAATCGAGGTGAGTGACAGAAACTTTTATTTGAAAACAAGTTTTCCAAGGATTTTCAAGGGAAATTTAATATTTTTAGGGAATTTTCGCTTAATTTGGGGTTTTTTTCATTTTTTGAAATTATTTTCATCAATTGACAACGCCGCTTTCCTGTTCTTGATTGGCTTTAAAATTCAAATTTTAATTATTCTCGGCTCTTGATTGGTTTTCATATTCATTTAATAAACCACTCAAAAGATGCGGATTTCCAAAAATTGAATTTTATCATGTGGCAACACCGCTAGCTCAATCGAGTCCGCTTTGAAATGTAATCAGTATCATTTACGTCAATTTCAAAACAGAACTCTGCTATATTTTCGTACCTTTAAGGTCTGACAACATTGGGCTGGTAATACAGAATCATGTAATATTTTATTTATATCAAACGGCCTGACATGACAACATTGGGCCAGTAATACAGAATTTTGTAATGAAAAACTCGAAACCGCATTAAGTAGAGGTAACGTACGACATTTTATTTACGACCTTTTTTTTTCGAACAATAAGCCAATCGAGTAGAACTTGGAATGTCATCAGTGTTATTTAAGTCGTTTCAAATTGAAGCCGATCAAACAGAACTCTGCAATATTTAAGGCCTGACCACATTGGATCGGTAATAGAGAATCTGTAATACATATTTTTTTTATACCAAACGACCTGACATGTAGGGTTGCCAGAATTTAACTTTGAAAAAGCGAGACAGCGGATAGGAAAAAAAATACTATATTACATTACGAGTGTAGAAAGTGACAAAAATCACACGAGTCTATGAAAGACAGTTTCTCGCAAGTGATGTACACCATTTTTCCTACGACCAGAAACCGATTTAATTACACCAATTTTCTCATATTTTATCTCTTTTTATTTTCAACACACGTGCTGAAAGTAGATACTTTCAACCCACGAATTGAAAGTAAATTGTCAATGTCAATCACAAATAATGTCAACAGTATTTTCCACACGTGTGCTGAAAGTACTTTTAGCACGCAATATAGGTAGGAAACGCAGCCTAAAAGGGTGTTGTCGGTCGGAAATCGAGATATATTTCCTTACATTTTTAAAAATGTCGTGACATTTGGCATTCAATTCGTGAATCGGGACGGTTCGGAAATATCTCTGAAAATCGGGACTGTCCCGCCTAAATCGGGACGTCTGGCAACCCTGGCCTCTACCTACTTTCGTGAAAGTGGTTTTTCAACTCTTTTTAACAAAAACTCAAGAACCCCAAGAATTTCAAAACGGAGATGCAAGCTCAGTCATCACATTAAGGCCCAGTTGTATAATCTTGGTTCAAAACAGAGTTCAGCTGAACTCGACTGGTACCTACTTGAACTTCCCCATTTGAAATGCATTGCTGTCAAAAATGATAGAATTTGATTAATAGCTGACAGCAATGTATTTTAAGGGCGTGTTTGGGTTGACGCTAGGCGGAGCGAGCAGAGCGATTACGGAGTAACGTGACGTCACAGAGAGTACACCGTGTCAAGCCAAATAAACTTGTGCAATAATGCTGGGTTGAGCGATCAGTTGATTATTGTTTATTTTTCTTAGCATATATTTTTTGGAGTCCGAGCCCGCATTCCGCATTTGCACCAGAGTTTTCTCGTTTGTTTTGCATTTTAGTCGATAATTTTCAAACAGCCCCATTTTCTTTTGTATTCTGCAAAAAATGTCGTGCTACATAAACAATAAAACGGACCTAAACACTCTGAGGCTGCCAAGTTCCCTTGGAAAAATATGTTCAGTGATAAGGACTATCGAGAAAATTTAAAAAAAAGTAAACAATTATACAGAATTTACTAGCTATTTGATTGTTAACATTTAAACAAAATAGCTAAAACTATTCACCTAACAAGTATATGTTAAAATTCAGGATTGTTTATTTATCTTATCATGGAAAATAGGTTAGGTTATACAGACAGATTAAACTGCGCATGTACGCTCCAGCTGCCCACCCCACAAACTCGGAGTTTGTCGAGCTCGCTCTGAGCGCTCAAAATATGTCTAACCAAACACAATCAAGCGTCGTCGGAGCTTCAAAAATAACGGATAAGAGACAAAAGTGCATGCTCTGAGTGCACCGAGCGTAAACCCAAACGCGCCCTGAATGGGAAAGCTCAAGTACCAGTCGAGTTCAGTTGAACTTTGTTTTGAACCGAGATTGTACAACTGGGCCTAACAAAATAAAAATTGACTTTTTGTAATTAGTTACGAAATAATAATATTTTAATAGAGATTTTTTGTTTTTTATTTATTGAGGGCTGGGGGGGTCGCGACATTATGAGCAAATCTGTAAAAGAGTCGTGACTAAAAAACGGTTGGGAACCACTGTTCTAGAACAACATAGTGCAGCATGTGGTCTCAGTATCAACTACAATAAGACCAAGGTTATGATCGTTGATACGGAACATGACAATCATCCTGAAATAACATCATTAGGCAGTTGTTTTGTGGCAGTTGTCAGGTAGTCCAGAGCTTTGTATACCTCGGTTCTTTGATCGACAATTCACGTGGCTGCGAAATTGAAATGAGTCGGTGCATTAAACAAGCACAGTCAGAAAGGACAAGACTAACTAAAATATGGCATGACAATAATATCACATGTCGCTTGTTCGGTCTCTTGTCTTTTCCATACTTTTGTATGGCTCCAAAACGACTATCCTCTATTGCTTCAACGCGTATCCTGACGTTTCTCAGCCATATCCATAAAAGTGATAATATGGAAAAAATTGTTGTCCAAAATCATGCGAGACGGTCTCGTGGCCGTTCTCTTATACGCTGGGTGGATGCGACAAGACAATTGCTAGATGTTAGTGTCACAAGAGCGACCGAATTGACCAATAATCGCGAAAAATGGCGGAATGCGGTTTTCAAAGCAGTTGACAACCTTTGTGCCGCCAATCCTTCAGTACATTTTATGAGTTCACAACATGTCTGGCAAGACATTGTGACTATGATGTGATCTTGATAATCCAGACTATGGGCTATTTTCAAAGAGCCATTTCAGAAATGACTTAAATAATGTGCGAACTTATCTCACTTGGCAATTTAGTGCTGGTATTGGGTCATTGGTTCTTCGTTTTCAAGCAGCCAAGTTAAAAATAGTCATATTTTTGTAAACTCAAATACCCTAGAAATAAACCTATACTTGACTGTTCAAAATATAATTTTCAAAAAAGAATAACCCTCGAAAAAAAAAATTTCTTGCCTACTCGCCTGAGGCTATTATTGCATAACTCGATTACCCGTGCGGAAAATCCTTTTCAAGACACGTGTGCAATAATGATTAGTTACATGTCTATTTTATCCACCTAAATTAGTTTATTATAGTTGTTGAACGCAAGGTTAATGTCAATTTAATTGGTGAGCAGTCTTCACTAATAATCAGATACAAACAAGAACAAACCCCTTTAAATTAGGACTAATTACCAAACTTCGCTACTAGTAAAATAAAATAAAACCCAAAATACGACGCGCATGTGAACGGTAACATATTGAAAATTAATTATATATATATTGCATGGAGCTAATTACCTATTTTGGAAAATGATTCCTTCCGAGGGAGTAATTATAGTAAGAAACTCGAAAAACCTTACTACAAGACAAGTGTTAATGAGAAATTGATATCAGTTTTCTGAAGGTTGTTTTGTTTAAATTTAATTAGGATTTTTGTCCGGGAAATGTATGATTAACTATCGACGTTCATAATCACGAGAGATGCTTTTAAAAGGTTTTGCGAGATACGATGGCACAACACGAAATGTCGCATTCAGCTAAACTTATTATTTTATTGGTTATTTTTTTTGAAGCTAGGTTCTTTGGTGAAGTATTTGCTGGTGATGGAAAAACTGTAAGTAAATAGAAGAGACTTTTTTTTTTTTCAGATTTTTTCAATTTTTACTTAGCACAGTTTCAATTGGGAAGATTTGGTAACTATTCATTTTTCAATCGTGGAGTTGCTTAGGCACGAAGCAACCAAATATTTCGAAAGTTTTCCTCACTTGGATATAAAATACTGGTTCCTGATCGTCCAAAATTGGATAAAAAAAGTATAAAGATTGCAAATAATGTCACGTAAACCTTTTTTCTTGCTATGTTTTGAAGTTGATTTTGCTCAGAAATCAATATGTTTATTATAATAATTAATACATTATTATTTCCATAGATGGTATAATATTGTCGTTTTTACTAAAGGACGTTTGAATGACAGCTTGTCTTTTGCGCCATAGTAATCTAATTTGGAAGTTGATCAGTTTGTTAATGTTTTAGTTATAAGTTCGTACATTACATTGAGTAGTATGTAGGTTCTTCAATTTTTTAGACCCTGTCAGCGTTCTCTTTGAAATAATCAGTAAATTATATTATCCTGTCTTTTTTCGACAAACTGTAGTTTTTCATTTCACTTTAATTGATTTCTGATTGAAGATCTAGGTGTATTTTAATTTATAATTGACTGATTATCTCTTATAAATATTTTGGTCTTGTGATGAAAAGGTTTGTATACTCTTATTGTGTTATTCGTATTATCTCCTTCATATCATCAATTTCCTTTCGTTCGTTTCTTATAGATAATATTGAGTTATTTAAACCCGAGCTGCGGTGTTAGACATTTAATTTTTTATTTATTTTTCCAATCGTTCTCTCAGTTTTTTTTTTCTTTAATTCTTGTTAAGGTTTCTTTGATGTGTTTCCTATATCTACTTATTTATTTATTTTTTTATTGTTTTATCTCCTTATTCTAGTATTATAATTTTATTCATAAGATCTTTTGTTTGGGGTGGAAAAATATAGTTCCTCTCTATTCTTGACTGTGCTACTTCATGTTTATTTTCTAAATTTTCAAATTCTTATGATATATGTTATATCCTATGTATTGTAACGAAATTTACGTTACGTTACGTATCGCGTTTATTCTGGATTTTGCAATAATAGATTACAGATATATGAAGGCCGGTATTAGTTAGTAGTTTTTAAGTTTAAAACTGACTGTAATACGATTTAGATAGTAAATTTTCCAGTAAAGTCGAGAAAATTCTATTCGGAAACCAAGGGAGATATCGAATTTCTAACTTTGCCGACATGTTCTTAACATCAATCGTCATTCAGAAAAAGAATTTCGAGGAATTTCGGAAAAATTCTAGAATATTTCATATGGAAACCACGGGAGAGATTATTGGAACTCTTGAACCAGTTAAGCAAATATCAAACTGTGACCTACGAGATATGCGATATTTTGTGAAACCGAAACTGAATACAGACACGTTGATGCAGACTTTGAAGAAATCATGGAAACACCTCGATCCAGATAGACTTCAAGACGCCACAGATTTCATCTTGAAAGAAGCAGACGTATTTGTGATGGATAATCTAACCGGACGGACCAGTTTAATTCAACACAAAATTGATAATGTATTGGCAACCCAATTAGACAACCACCTCGACGTATGCGTGTAGCTAAGCAAGAGTAAAATGCTTCAAGAGGGAATTATCGAAGAGTCAAATAGTCCGTGGTCTGCGCCAGTATTGGTTACAAAGAAAGGTGGAAGTTTTAAATTTTGTGTGGACTACCGTAAGCTTAATGACGTCACCAAGTAGGACGGCTTCCCTCTTCCGAAGATAGGCGATACATCAACAACTCTATCAGGCTCCAAATGGTTTTCCACCTTAGATCTTAAGAGCGGATACTGGCAAGTGGCAAAGATAACAAAAAGAATACTGCCTTCAGTACCGGGAATAGGTTATACCAGTTTAACATAATGCCTTTCGGATTGTGTAATGCTCTTGCTACGTTTGAGCGACCGATGCATCTAGTTTTGCGAGGCCTTATATGGAGACTTGTCTGGTATATTTAGAATATGTCATGATCATGAGAAATTCGTTCCAAGAACATCTCAATAACCTGAAAGAAGTTTTTGACCGCTTCCGGAATGCCAACTTAATACTCAATCCAAATAAGTGTTTCCTATTTCAAAAAAAAGAGGAATTCTTAGGTCGTAGTATCTGAAGATGGTATACAGGTTAGGGAAGGAAAGATAGATGCTGTCAGGGATTTGCCAAAACGACGCGACAAACATGAATTAAGGCTTCTCTAGGATTATGTTCTTATTATCGAAGATTTGTGGAAGGATTCGTCAATATAGCTGCTCCGCTTTCTCGAGTAACGGAAGAAAAACCAACATTCAATTGGACCCAAGAATGCGATTCCGCATTTAGAAAATGAAAAGGAGCATTGTAACACTTTTATTTTACGTAAGAAAAAATCAATTACCAAAATGTAACCTTATTTGGATTGCAACCTTAGTTCAACAGAGTTTGTTAAAGTGTCCACGTGCCCGGTTCGTGGATTCGTGCGCCACCAATTTTTGAGACTAAATCGGAAAAGTCCTGCGATGACTGCAGGTTGAACTAAAGTACAAACCAAATTATTATGCCTGAAATGTAAGAAAATAATTGGATAAGCAAAAGGTAATTGGCAATACAACAAAATCAGTATCTATTTATTGAATATTAAGTATTGATTTAGTACAAGTTATGGTGATTAAATAATGATTATGACCAGTATTCAGAGGCTAGTATGACGACTAGCAGGAATAAAGAACCTAAAGGCTTCCTCATAGTCAGATTTAAGAAAACTGTCTGTCGGTATTGATATGTATGAATACCTATGTAAGCAGAGAGCTATACTTAAAACTAAAATAACCAATAAGTGCGAATTAACACACACCCAGCGTCAGTGATCACTCCGCAAATAAATGGGGTCAAATGTTTACTTAAATGTGAGTAACTAAAGTTACCTAAGCCATATACGATATTTTTAAATAATTAATAAAAAAAAATTACACTAAACTACTTAGCTTTATGCCGACAATTAACAATGGGTCTGGGATTTCACACTCGTACCAGATGATCTATCTCATCAATGAAAACTAGTTCGCCGAGTCTTTGCTATTCAGATACAGTGGTGGGTACTGCATACCATCAAAACATCCACTGAGTTGCGTTATCGAAAACGGTAGCATAAAACCGTACCATAAGACCCTAAAGAAAGCACCAATGAGTAAATAAATTACCCTTAAATCCCCACTGAAATTATGCCACTTGGGATATGAAATTGTACGCTTCAATTCCCAAGTTTTAACCCATTTACTAAATATAATGAGTTCAATTCATTAAATAAGTTGCATTGCCAAAAAAAAAATATATTTAAATAAAAAACTATAAGTCTACCAATCAATGTGGCATAGAATGGTCCCCCAATAAAACATTAAAATGGAAAATTGCCATTATAATTACCTCGTGGATTTTTGAGGGTCACAGCTCAAAGGTTGAAGGTGAACGGAAGGTCATGGAACTCTAATTTCACCTACGCTGGCTGATCCAATTTGGAAGTTCACAATAACGAGCAATAATAAAATCAAGGCTCTAAGAGTCTAGGCTCAAACAATTCAATCCAAGCGACGTGATGTGATATTCTATTGTGAGAATAGAACTAATTAATTTACAATAAAACAAATTCACAAAATGGTGGACTTACCGACTAGAAGAAATAGATAAATCCCTTAGAAAGGTGATTTGGCTGCCAAAAGGTAACAAAAACCAAAACTAGACTGGCAAAACCAAAATTGAAATTATCTGGATGACCGGATCCTAATTAAATAGAGGAAATCACTTAATTTTCTTTATGGTCAACCGGATAAAAAAACTATTCTTCAGGCCAAAGCCAAAGTGTTCTAGTCGCTGGACGAAATAGAAGAGACCGTTGTACGATTTTTGGGACCCTAAACCAGAAATTTCTACGCACTAACTTTTTTTTTATGTTACATTTTTTTTTCTATCGAAATCCACATTCCACACTTTAGGAAGGATTGAAAGATAACGACAAAGATATCGATACTCGTCAGCGAAACCTCCAAAGAGACTCAACAAATGGGACCGAATCAATCCACACTAATCAGGAAAACACTATTCTCATTAAAATCTATAAATAACTTCACTTATTAAATAATATTGTCCATACCTTCTCTGACACGACACCAATTATATCGACATGTATTGAAAAACCCAACCCTACGCGACCAAAACCAAAGTACCAGCAAATTGATCGATAAAGGTACTCGATAACAGGTAGATAAAAGAAACGAAATCCTCCAGTAAGAGAGAGACAGAGAGGGAGTGAAAACTAAAGGAATTAATCCTTCGAAATAGCTGGCGCGAAAATAAAATTGAATGACAATTAACTGGACATAACCCCTTATTATTTGAAAATCAAAACAATGTTGGCTATCGACTAATGAAATTGATAATTTATGTATATTCCTTTTAAGGACAACAAGAATAAGATAACCAGGCATTGTTCAATAAATATTCATCTGCAATGGTCAACTAAATCATTAGACAAATGATAAGGAGCAAAATCTTGTCTGGCTGTGCCTGAAATTATCTAAAAAGATGAAGAGTAAGGTAATTAATATCCAATCAATTAGGTCAGCTCTAAAATAATATTTGTGTGTTACCAGTTAAAACGCTGAATTACTCATTTAATGGGAAGAGCAAAATTAAAATGTTACAACTCTCCCCTCTCTTTCACAGGAGAAAATCTTTCTTGAAAGATTCTCGACGATAAGATTGTAAAGTCGACAGAAGGCATGAACAAAAAGATAAAAGCTAATCAATAAAATTAACATTATCAAGGGTAACAAAAAAACTGAAGGTATAAAAGTTAAAGGCATATATAAACAAGGTGTACGAAAGGATATTTCGGATTGCTATAGTTCCCCGCGACGGAAATGACCGACGAAGACACCACACAGAAAGATTTCGCAAGATATGAAAGAATAGAAATCATCTGGA